CCAGATTCAGCTTCAAACATTCAAAAGCATCCAGATTTACAGCACAACCTTCATAAGATTTTCAGGAGTCGTACAAGCTTTCGCAAAACTTCGACAAACAAAAACCCTAAATCTGTTCGATAATCATCGAACTATCATCCATTGATGGTTCCGCAAATGACTTACCGGCGATTTTATTGAAATATTTCAAACTCCACCGCAACCCAACGCCTCCGTTTCCATCCCAACACTATCCTTCGACGTTCATGTATTTCGTTCAGGTTGGGGTGTTTGTGTTGTTTTGGTTCATTTGGTTTTACAGATACAGATGGTGAAGTAGACGAAGGAGAAAGTCGAAGAAGAAGATCCGAGAGGAGAAATGGAAATGGCAAAAGAAGTTTGAAGGTAACGAGAGTGAAGTTTGGGTTTGATGTTGGTAGAGGCGGACAAAGGAGCTGAGACGGTGAGGGGCGAGGCATTGGACGGCGGCGGCTGTGGAAAAGCATAGCTAGGGTTTCTATTGGAAAAATGGTGAAGATGAAATTTTTTGTTCGGAGGGTTAGTGGGTTTCGGCCCAATCACTTTTTTTTTTATTTTCACACCTCACCTAATGTTTCTAGTGGCTGCGTGATTTGGGCCAAGCCCAACCAAGTTTCTCCTCACACCCCTCCGTTTCGTGCACACCCCCCCTCGCCTGGCTTTGTTTGGGGCTTAAGCCCACTGCGCTGTTCTGTTTACTGCACCCCCTGGATACTGATGCCCCAACTGTTTTATTATATTTTGAATCTTTGTTTAAATTTATTTATTTTACTAAATGTATTTTCAAATCTATTTTTAAAATATTATTTTCAATTCTTATTTTAGAAAAAATGGTTTTATTAAAATATCTTCTTTTTAAATTCATTTATAAATAGTTTTGGTCCTTATTCAATTTATTTTTTTTATTACTAAATTATTTTCTAATCAAATCGTGAGAAACTAAGTTCTCGAAGTCTAGCACTTCTTGAATTTTTGGATAGTCATTATTAAGGTGTACACCTTAAGTAGTGTATTATTCGACCTCTCATTTTCAAAATTATATTTTTCTAACAAAGAAATGTCATGAGAATTTAGCATTCTTGGTGATATTTCCTTTGTTCATTCAAGCATTTTTCCAAATGAAAAAGGTGTCGTCGAGATCTAGCATTTCGATAATACCCCAATTAATTGGTTGTGAGGCCTACGTCTCATTTATCAAATAATTGTCATTTCTCTAATTTTCAAATCCAATCTCATGTCCTCACATCTCGTACCTCAAATTATTTTCATACCTCATTTCACTTCAAATCATTTTCTAAACTATTTTCTTTCCGATTCAAACTTCGAAAGAAGGAGATTCTTGGAGTTTAGCATTCCCTGAATTTTCGAGTGAATAGCTCTCGAAGCACGCCCTTTGGGTTGTTATTCACTCAACCTTTCGCCTTTTTCAAACTCAAACATTTTCAAACGTCCTCCTAAGTCGAGTGCTCGTACGCATTCGCAACCACCCACATTTCGCACACATTCACAATTCCTCGTGGTCTCGATATTAGGAGCACCCTCAGGGACTAATATCGTTTCTCACAACCTTAACCCTTGACACGTCGTCAAGCCGGTTCCATCTTCAATCAAATCTTCGACACGTCATCGAACCAGTTCAAAACAACTTCCTTTTGGCCTCGCATGCCATTCTTCGATTCAATCCTTTCGCAAACTTACGAAAGAGGGATATTCTTAGAATCTAGCATTCTTTGAATATTCGAACGAGTAACTCTTGGGCGCGCCCCCGAGTTGTTATTAGTTCATTCTTTCGTTTTCAGAATATCCAACTCTTATCTTCAATTCATTCAACTCAATTTCCGAAAGAACTGAGTTCTTGGGATCTCGCATTCCTTGAATTCTTGAGTGACAAGCTCTGGAGGCACGCCCTTAGGTTGTTTGTCAGTCACTCTTTCGTCTCCCAACTCAACTTCAACCCATTTCGAACCTCATATTTTCGTGGTTGTTACCACGAACTACGGACGCTCTGATTCTTTATTCATTCTTGAATACAAGATACGTAGGCACAAGATTGCGATGATCTTGGCGAGCACACTTCTATCTTCCTCCATTATTTCGTCCACACACTTCTACCCATCTTCCGTTTCCCCCCATCCTTTCCCGTAGTCGAACTACGACGCTCTGATTTCTCATTCTCGTCCGAATAAGCATACGTAGGCACAAGGGCCCCAATCCTTGGCGAGCACCCTATCTTCTAACCACCCATCTCTCCTTAGCATCTTTAACCTTTTACCCTACCAATTCTACTTTTAACAACAAGAAGAAAACCAGTAAACTTAAACAGCACTCCCCACAATTACCTTAAGAGGTTCCCGTCGAGTACGACGGACGTGAGGGGTGCTAATACCTTCCCCTCACGTAACCGACTCCCGAACCCGGAACTTGGTTGCGACAGCCCTGTTCCTATCCTTTCGTTTTCAAGAGGTTTTCTCGATATTTTCCTCTCCCGTTTGTTCGGGAAAAATAAAGTTCGGTGGCGACTCTGTCGAACCGCATTTCCGCGCCTTTCGCGCGAGGGTCGTATTTTCGAAATGTCTCCGTGATTTTTCGAGGTGCGACACAATTATGATTAGATTTACAAATGGAACACCAGTTACAACTGTAATTTTAGAGAATGCCAACAACAATTGGACTTTTAAGAACAGAGTGCCAGCAACAACTGGAACTTTACATAATGCCAACAACAATTAGACTTTAGAGAATGCTAACAACAATTGGACTTTAAGAAAAGAATACCAACAACAACTGGACTTTAGAGAATTCCCACAACAATTGGAATTTAAGAACAGAATGCCAACAATAATTCGACTTTTAGAGAATGCAAGTACTAGCCCTTTTACTTTGAAACCTCAAAGCAACTTTGTAGCTTGTAACTTCAAAGCAACTTTATAGCTTGTAACACAAACATTTGAATCCAAGTACTAGCCCTTTTACTTTGAAATTACCATCTTCAATTATCTTATCAAATGTGTATCTATCTTGACATGAAGTGGATTTCGTACCACTCTTGAATCTTCATCAGTAATGACTTAAATTTCCAAAGCTAGCACCATCATGAAAACAAAAATTTGCTCCCTAAACATAGCCTTGAATTGTAAAAACATGGTTCAAATTTGAAACCACCCAATCAACTAACCATGGTTTTGAAACAACTTGAGAATTTTAATTATGGTTTCCCATCATCACTTGTAGCATACTCCTTATGCCTTAATCATTCCATCACTCCTTAACCACAAATTGATTATGCCATGATTCTCTTAACTCAAAATCATCCATTAATCTTGCAACCAATTCAAACTTGGATAAAAAATAAACATGACCTAAGGGTGGATGATCCTTTCCTTGAAGCATGAATAGTAATTCCTTACAACAAATCTAGCCAAAATTTAGCTTGATTAATCACATGGCCTTATGGTCAATCATGGAGTATGGATCAAAATACATTGAAGCAAGGCTTGTAATCATGTTGACATAGGATTCAAAAACCACTTGAAAACAAATGATCATGCCTTGAAATGGATCCATTCATATAACTTGGGCAATTGATCATGTTATAAATACTGGATCATGATAATGAGGGCACATTTCTCCTTTATCTCCTCTTAAAATCAAATCACCCTGGAAAGAGCTTGAAATCATCATAAGCACACACAAGATACTCATGACCTAAATTTTAGAGGATCATGGCCAAATGACAGATGATCATCTAAAGGAAGATCATGAAGCAACACAAAGCTTGGTATAAGAAAATACACAGGGTATGATAAATTTGGGGTATGACAATATCACTACTACAAAAAGTAGATACAACCACGCCACCATTACCACGGTCTTTTGAAGGCTTGTGGTGATATCTCAAGTTTCATGCGCCTATATAATTTTTTATTTTTATATAGGAGTAGTCTTAGAGGAAGACCCTACAATTAACCAAGTCCAGTGAAATAGGCCTCATGTTGAAGTAGTTAATCAAGGAGTTAGGATCGAACTTCCTAGAGTCGAACCCCCTAGGGTCGAACAACCAATCCAAAGGGAACAAGAACCTATGGTAGTGATAGTTAATAGGAATTGAGATGCTGACGAAGTCATACATCAAGTTCGAAATGATGGTATGGCTGGAGATAATAATGTGGCTGCTATGGTTGAAAGGATTATGACACGAAATAGGGTAAACGCTGGCCTTCATAGGCCAAACTATATTTCCCTATTATCTGACTACATTTTGCAAACTCCTTTGCCTAGGAGATTGAAAGTCCCTAAATTTACAAAGTTTTCAGGATATGCAAATGAGTCGACTGTCGAACACATGGCTAGATACCTAACAGAAGCAGGAAATCTTGCCAATGACGAAAGCTTGAGAGTTAAGTATTTTCCAAGTTCGCTCACAAAGAATGCTTTTACATCACTACACTTCCAGTGAGTTCGATTCATGATTGGGCTCGTTTGTAGAGATTGCTCCATGATCAGTTCTACATGGAACAGTCAAAGATTAGCCTCAAAGAGTTAACAAAACGATTCATATATGATTCAAATGAACTTTAAAATAATTCGAGCGAACCAAATAAAATTTATAGTTTCAAAATTCAAATATAAATAATTCTCGATATTTAATATTTTTAAACAAAACTTTGTCGCTAATAATAATCTAAGAAATTAGTCTCTATATACTTTGCATGATATACTACTTCTTACTTAAAAAAAATTTTAGAAAGAAAAGAAAATTATTTTTGACCTAAAAACAATTCCTCACATTCTAAAATATAAACCCTAGAAAACACGAGTTTACTCACAGCGTTCAAAAGCCAGTCACAACTTGCCAGGTATTTCATATTTCTCTGATGATTTTCCCTAATCAATTCACAAATCCACTATCTACGATTTTGCTCGATCACTTCAATTCAACTCAATAATGCCTGTTTTGGTGTTGTTGTTGTGAACGCAGAGATATGCTCAACGATTTACCCGATTGCGTTATCCTTCACATACTTTCGTTTTTGGACACCAAAGACGCCGTTCGAACATGCATTCTGTCCGTGAGATGGAAGGATCTCTGGAAAAGTCATCCTGCTCTTACATTGGATTTTGTAAAATTTACACATTATGATGTAAATGAATTCGTGTCTAAGGTTTTATCTCTTCGCGATTCCTCTATCTCATTGCAATCTGTTAATGTTAGGCTTCTTATTTGTGGCATGGTGCCTCTAATACTTACAAGGATTCTCAGTTACGCTGTTTCGCACAATGTCCACCGGTTAGAAATCGAGGTCTGCGGTCACATTGCGCAAATTCTGCCCACCATGTTTTCATCTCTCACTTTAACACATCTTGAGCTTTCTATCCACTCTCTTGGAGCTCCAGCTCCCGAAACAATATTTCCTAACTCTCTCAATTTGCCGGCATTAACTAACTTGCAACTAGAAAATATTTCATTCTCTGTTGGCGAAAACGGTTTTGCTGAGCCGTTTTCTACCTTTCCCAAGTTGAATAGTTTGTTTCTTTACAATTGTAATGTGGGGCGTTCGCATACAGGTACTCTTTGCATATCAAGTTCGACACTTGTCAATTTAACTATGTATAACCACAATTGCATATTTTACAAAATTGATCTACGCAGTCCAAGTCTTTGTAAGTTTGTTTTTACCGGTAATCCTTATCATAAAGTACTCGCGACCGATGTTTCTTCTCTTAAGCATCTAGATATGGTTGCGTATCGCAAGGCCCCTCCTTTGTTTCTATTCAACTGGCTCCTGGAGTTTGTTAATATAGAATCATTAACGGTCTCTGCAGCTACTCTTCAGGTTCGTTCTTCTAAAAATGCCTTTTTCATTTATTTATTGATTTTATAAAAAATAATCTCCTTGCATTAATTGTTTAGGTTCTGTCCTTAATTCCTAATCTGTTGAAGATGGATTTCCCTTCCTTGGTTAACTTGAAGTCGTTGAAAGTGATTATGGGACCAATTTCGTATGGATTTCGCATGACAGTGTGCCAAAAGAAGTTACGGAATGTCAAGTCAAAAGAAGAAGCTGTTGCTTTAAGAAAAGCATTTGCAAATGGGTCAGACCCATCTTTACTCATACCTGATGGAATAGTAGATTTCTTACTTCAAAATTCACCATTGGCAGAAGTCTACTTCATAGGTTACAAGAAGCTATAAGCGAGATTCTTATAATTGGTTTGTTATTTTCCTTACTTCTTTGCTTAGAATTGTTCACAGCCTGAGATTAGCATTAGCTGCAAATTTGCATTAGTAGTTTTTAGGAGGTTCACAAACTGAGATAAACATTTTCGCTGCCCATATTTACTAAAAGAACTTCCCAACTCTGATAGCATTCATTTTACCAACTTCATTTATTTGAGTTAAGTTATTTAAAATTTTGATGTCATTTATAACATCATTTTCTTCCCTTTTTCAATATGTGCTTGTTGAAACAGAGTTACACAAACTTACTGTATTCTATAAGACTTTGGTAGTCACAATTTGCATCACTTCATGGGTGCTTAATCTGAGTTTAAGTTGCCTGCTCCCACTTGAACTTTAAACTTTACTTGTGGAACTTAAAAGAAAACTTCTTCAATATTTGTAGATGCAAATGTAAGAATTGTATAGGTAACATAATTCTCAAGATTCATTTGACTCTTACTTCTTACATGACCAACTGGTACCTGGTTGATAGAATTATAGGCATACTTGAAAACTTTTACTAGAAGAAATAGGAAGTGATCCATTATGAAAGATGCACCTCTAAAATGAATGTTGTGCCATCCAAAGGAGGGACCTCTATTTTGAGTATAAAGTTAGTGGTGTGCTCAATCCTACATTTGAAGAAGTTTTGATTTGTGCTGCTAGTTTGTGATGTTTTTGTTTTTTTAGGTTAATATGATTTAAATTAATTTGTGTATACAAATCAATCTCTTATCAAACTAAAATGCACAGATTATCTAAAATAAATAAATGAACCCATTTCTAAAAATAGTTAAAGTTAATACTAACTATGTCCGTTATTATAAGATTTTTTTTATATAATATATGGACCTTAAAAAAAAAGGTGCTGAAATAAAATTATCATAAAGTAGTATTATTTTTATATATTATTCTTATAAAAGAGGAACTAATTTTTAGACATTATATAAAAATTAATTCCATATATTTAAATAAGCAAATTGTTGGATGTAGGGGTGGCAAAACGGGCCGTCTGCCCCGCCTTGCTCCGCTTTAAGTCCACCAAAAAAAAGATAGTGCGGACAAGCCCACCAAATAGAAACGAGCATAAAAATTTAACTCGTCCGCTAAGGTGACGGGTTGGCGGGCCCGCCTACTTATTTATTTATTTATTTTCATTTTTTAAAAAGATTAACCTTGTTTTTACATTTCAATTGGAATTTTCACTTATTTTTTAGAACAATTTTTATAAAACATCTTTTAACAAATTTTACTTCAAAAAAATATTGCTAGAATTAACTAAAAAAAGGGGGCTTATAAGATAGGACAAGCTGAATGAATAGGTGTGGCGGGTTTTGGCGGGGCGGGCTTTGGCGGGTGGCGATCTTTAGCGGGCAGGCTTTGGAGGGCGGTGGACCCAAAATCATAACCCAACCCGTCATTTTTAATGGGTGCGCGAGCAGATCCGACGGGTCACGATCCGTTTTGCTACCCCTAGTTGGAAGTAGGCATGGCATATTGCTTTTTCTTGAAAAAGTTAAATTCTTCCTTAGGATGGTTTTACATAAATTCATTTCTTTAAGATCAATGTTGTGTAATCGTGGTATGTTTTAGAAGAATCTTTGTCCTAGATGCAATCATGATGTTGAGACAACTCTACACTGTTCGAGAGATTGTGAATTTGCTACTCGCTTTTGAAAATCTATTGATTTTTTGGACCCATTATTCTTTCAAGGGGATTTGATTAAACATGACTTTAATGGTGACTCTATCTTTTTTCCTGTTTGCTGGTGGTTGTGGGGTGCTAGAAAAAAAGTTGTGTCTTGCGAATAAAGTGATATCTTCTTATACTTTGAAGCTCATTACAATGAATTATGTTAATTTGTTAACAAAATGATTTTTCAAGCATGATGTTCTGGACTGGGCCAAGGCCCAATGTCGGGGAGGCCCAACAAGGCCCAATCCTCACATGTCGGGCACACAACTCAATAAGGCCCCCTCAGTCGGGCAGACTACTACTTAGCACGGGGAGAGCTCACGCGCTTTCCCTACGTTCTCCACGTGTTTCTCACGCGGGGACACGTCATCAGACAACTACCCACTTTCGAAAGAGTTGGTTAGGCCACCTTCCGAAGATCCCTGACAGCTACTCTATTGGGCCTTGTAATCTAGCTTAATGCTAAGTAACCGTTGACCCCGCACTGGGGGCGCATTATAAATACCCTCTTTCACTAGAGGGCCATGTATTCTATTCTCTACACCTATTCTCTTTGTACTTGCGCTTTCTAACTCCATTACTCACTTAAGCATCGGAGTACCTTGCAGGTACACCCCTTTCTCCTCTACAACACCGGTGAACACAGGAGCTCACGACGCGTGGCAGACTGCTGATTCCTTTCTGATTAGGTGAGATCACATGATATGTCTCATCCAACGAGAACGGTCACGTAGAATGCACACAAGGATAGTAATATAATTTTGAATGTTGATGGCAGTAGCCTCGATAATTCCGGCATATCGGATTTTGGTGGATTGATTCAAAATGTTTATTGTAACGTCCCAAATTTTGATCCAGGACATTACTTTGAAATTCATATTTACTTTAAAAAAACGTGACTATGTTTTTCTTCCAAATTAAAAGATCTACAATTATAATATTCATTTCAAATAAAACTCACTAATATCATTTTCTAGCGGAGTAAGAACCCACTTCATATTTCTAGTCTGTCAAACTTAAATAAATGACCATATTGAAATATTATATTTTACTTTAAATAAAATTATAAATCTAATAAAAACTCAATTTTTAATTATGCAGTCATGCATAACATCACACCAAATTCACTTCGTATCTTCCATTGTACCTAAAATGTTAGATATAAGGGGTCAAACTTCCATCATCATATCAAATCAAACAAAATATATAGTTCGGTATTATAAAACAAATCGTACAAAACATAATAGTTTAAGAGAAATCAAATTCACAAAAATCATGATCTTACTAATATTTTTACGTGTGAATATGCATGCTCTTAGAATTACACCATCCAGATATAATCAGTCTGTCACTAAGGCACCACACATAAATACATATGTCATGATGATAAAATGAAAACACATCACATAGGCAATCCGCCACATAGGAAATCCGCCACACAAGCAAAATATGCATATGCCATAAAATACATATACCTTCCACAAACTCTCATTAAAGCACGTCATTTTAAAATTTATTTCATAAAATCATCCATCTTCAAACTTTATCATTTCAATCCTTTTAATAGACTTTTAACCACCAGAATTCATCTAGTTCACATTGCGACCACACATAATAATAACAAATCACAAACAACACAAAGCTTAATCCACATCAGAATAATTCATCTGATTCACATGATGACCACACATAATAATAATAATAATAATAATAATAATAATAATAATAATAATAATAATAATAATAATAATAATAATAATAATAAATCACAAACAACATAAGGTTTCATCCATATCACCTGAGGACACTCAAAAATACAATATATAAAATTAGTATTCCTATTTTTAACTTATCGAATAACTATATTTCAATTCATTTTTCTCTTTAGAAAAATTATGAATTAAATCATTTTATTTTATAATACCTAACTATTAGTTTCATTATAGTAAGTATGGGGAAATGCCCTTACCTTTGGCATTTTTCTTCCTAATCGGATTTAAAGGTCGCCACGAGAAAGATCTTATTTGTATCATGCTTTCACCTATTAAGTTAAGTTCACGTCTAAAATTTTTCCGCTCCCTTGATAGTTTATGAATAAAACTTAAAATTAGAATATTAAAAGACACTAAAAATACCAATTTCGAATTTAGGTAAAAGAAACTCACCCTAAAACAGAAAGAAAAAAAACTTGAGGAACATTTCTGTTATGATCTCCCAACTGTTTTGGCGTTGGTTTTGCACAAATTTGAATTACGGTGAAGAAGATAAGACAAAACAACAATACTAATCGAATTGAGAAAACAATATTCTAAACTAGGTAAAAGAATTCTAAAAAATAAAATGAATATAAGATCTTAACAAATTGATTGGTACAAATAACATACTGAAATTTGAGACGAAAATGAGAACAACTTTTTTGATAGCAAATTTGATTCCGAAAGAGAAGTCTTCATAGTTGCGGTTGATTACTCCCTTTATTTACTAATGACGTGGGCCATTGTAGTGTTTGTCTTGATCACACAGAATTGGCGATTCTTGATGCATTTTTCATTTTTGTAACGGGACAAAAAAATTCAAATGATTTGTGTATACTATCTTCATCCATTTAAACATTTTTTTCAATGGATCCAGCTATTCCTAGAATCAATCAATCGATCCTTTAATATTATACATGTTTGTATTACCAATTTTGATTCCGCATAAAGTATATGTCATAGTATGGTAAACATGTATATTGAATTGATTTAATTCCAACAAATGGTATCAGAGCCTTAGGTTATGATTAAATTATTAATTCAAATGATATATTATTATGTGATTTTTATTGAATATATTGTTCAAGTTTTTATTGTTATTGTAAGAGGGAGAATTGTTTATCGTAAGGTGGTTTTTTTAGGCAGCAGGATGATGAGGGTTCCCTTCCCCTCTCATCAGCGCCAAGGGTTTTGGAATGTTAATCCTATTTTTTTTTTATCATGTTTTACTATGTTTTGTATTTAAGACAAATGATGTTTTCTCTTAATCTTTTTGACCTTAATTTATGGTAATATCTCAAAAGTGTTGAGGTTGTTATAATATGAGTTATATATACACGTATCATTGTGAATTTGGTGTAAAATGTTGATTTGGTTGTTTTTGAATACAAATAGTTATTACTATGCGTAACCAAATGGGATTTGGGAAAACCTCATTTGGTTACTGTTTGTTGAATCGATAATGTTTGTCGCTACGCGAAAAATGACACAGAGTCGCCACCGAATTTTATTTATCCCAAGAA